TAAAACATGAACCTTTTATATAACAAATGCCTGCTCAGAGGCATTCTTGGTGATACCACATCCACGTCTAATGGTCGCGATCATTTTCACGCCTAACATGGTAGCTTACACCTCATTCATATTAGAGAATGAATCTATATCTTTAGCATTTATCAAAAAAATTTATTCTTCCTGAATAGAACACAATCATCTAAGTACATCAATGTTTAAAAACTTAGTACTCATTCCATATTCATGCGCATCATTCAATTAATTGTCTTCTTTTAGACATTTATGCACTGCTACATTCACTTCAAGGAATGAATATGCTTCAACGAGATACATTTCATGACTAATTTTTATCAAAAACTTATTATTTTGTCTTAGTTATAATTATATCATCAATATGATGCATTGAGACTCAAACCCAACGTCTTATGTCATAAATTAATGAGGGACTTTAACTTAAGTTATTTCATCACGGTGCACCAAGACTCCCGATGTCTTACCCCTCTTGGTGCGATTGAACATGAATCCATCGTCTTATCCTTTTGGTGCGACAGAATCTATCATCTTACCCACAATGAGGCTCAACCTCAAACCTTCAAAACAATTGTAATTTTATCACTTTTGATGATCATTAATATGATCGTACATTATAGCTACACATAAAATTGAGATTACTAATTTATTATAACTAACATTAGTAGTTAAAGGTATAACTTAATAGATCGCATACCTCATATGAAGATTTAAAACACAACTTTCACTAAATTGTTCTCATTTAACTATTAAAATAAACTAAGAAATTCTCTTCTCAATCGGTTAACATAAAACGTAGAAAAAGTAGACAAATCTCTTTAAATACTTACTCCAGATGGTAACTCCAAACTGTAACATAAATAATTATAATTAAGAAAGTAAAATTAAAGCATACCTTACAGAAAGGTATGAGAACCTAATTGCATAACTTATGCAAGATCTCTCTTGCCCTTTCCCGTCTTTTATCATAATTCATAGAACATTCATGTTGATAATATGTTATGGAACTATATAAAACAATGAGAAGAATAAATTAAGGAGAAGAGAGAAGATTTCTTATTCTCTTGATTGATATTTAGAGATTCACACATCTGATATGCAATGAAGGAAAACCCCTTTATTTATAGCGAAAACCTAACTTGGTCCCCAAGTAAAATTCATAACCATAACCTAAAAGAATTCCACATGATTAGACATTCACTATAATACATATATGTTTATAACATATAAAATGTTTTTTTTTAAAAAAAAAGGTAAAGTGGTATATGTAAATTTTATTTCATTTATATTTTGTTCCTTTTTATTATGGTATAACATTGTTTTATTTATGCTTTCTAATTTTAAAAATGACGCCGCTTATGAAAATTTTGCTTCTGCCGTTGATGATTTTAACACTTTGTTATAGATCGTAAACAAAGAAAAATGAATTCACTTAATGATTAAAATTCAAACCTTGTAAACAACTAGACTTAAGGATTGAGATCTAAATAACTAAGATTGAGACCTATCAAGCGCTAACAAATGAGGCTCTAAGCTCTTTCAAATTTCAAGATTTCAGCTATAAGGTCTGATGTAATACAACATGTAAAACCAATATTTATTACTAGACAATAATTTCTCATCCTAGTTAACCCTATGACACAAGGACATAAATCAAGTTTCAGTTTTTCGATTCGATTTTTTGATTCGGTTCGATACTATTTTTTCGAAAGTTTAATTGTTCAGTTCGGTTCGATATATATATGGGCATACTCTTAACAGAAAGTTAAAAATTCAGTCAACAATTAAATCATTCATGAACAAATTAAAGTAACACCAAGTGTACAATTCAATAGTTAACTTGAAATATCAATTTTGAAGAGAAACTCAAACATATTTCTATCAATGTACATTATGTAAATCCTCATACTTGTTTTTCTCGATAAATTATTGGAGGCATAATGTTCTAGATAAAGATAAATATAATCTTTTAGTTAATAAAATAAGTGTTCCACGGTAATAGACATCATTCCTTAACATAGTTTTAAATTTCAAAGTCTCTTATACTTTATCTTTATTTTATTTTTCGTTAAAGCTGATTTAAAAATACTGAACTAAACTGAACAGAAGTAGAAAAAATTGAACGAATCAAATTAGTTTGATTTAATATACGGTGCACAATCTCTAAAATCAAAAACCAAAAGACCGAATTGAAGTTTGAGAAAATCAAACCAAATAACTGAACGTCCACACCTAAATCAAGTGTTATCTCATGTATTCAGATTTGCAAACCAGAAACAATTAAGATGAAAGAAAAAAAAAGAATTATCCGAGTCCATAGAAATCACTGTGTATTCTTAAGAAATTCATCCCCTCAAATATCCAGGTTGCAGATTAATTCCTCCCAAGATAAAACAGATTAATCATTAAAGTAGTAGTGGTACCTCAAACTTCAATAATTTCGACGAACTCAAAATGACAACAATGAATCACACACACATACACGATTGATCTATTTTGTTTTGTAAGAAATGTAAGCAAAAGAAGAGAACAATTCGATGCAAAAAAATGAGAGAAAACCTCTCTATTTATAGCCAATAAAAGGTAAATATCACAACTCTTTGAAAAAAAAAAGACAACCTTTTAGAGAAGATTAACATTTTGGAAAAGGCACAACCTTTCAAATGGTCACAACCTTTTATAAAGGTCACAACCCTTCATTTCATGTTCACACCTTTAAAGGCAACATCAAGTACTAGAAGGTATTGATATTTCTGAAGCCTTATATGTAGTTTGCGAGCTATTGCATAGAAATAGGGGTTTTATCCTGTACGCACTCAAAAGATAGCTGATGCGGACTTGGATTTCCATTATCATAGAAAAAGTATTTCTAAAGCCTTACAATGTGATGGTTACAATAATTATTTTTTACAAGAAAGCCTGGCCTATATGATCAAATTAGTCAATCAATTAGTTATTTTTTTTTGATATTTTAGAGGTCTATATAGTCGTCAATTATAAATCATTAAATATGTTAATCAACTAAGCTCAATGTTTCGAACTCAATGAAACTATCAAAACACAAATTAGAGTTCTCCTTGATCCGAAACTCATGAAAGTCAAAATGAACTAACTTAAGGCTCAAAATTATCAAATTATCCTCGAAATAAAATTCAACCAAGATCCCTCTTAGATCCAAAATCCCCCCCCTCCTCCCCACCTCCCGAAGCCAATGGAACCATAAAAATTTATATCCAAGTATCTGAACTCTGAGTAGACCAAAGTCAACACAAAGTTCAAAATCACTCAAACTTTCAACTTAAGACCTCAAGTCCACGAAAGTCCTTTGAATCTGAAATCGACGACTCTTCGAGACAAAATTTCACATCCCAAAGTTGATGGAATTACAAAATTTCATTCCGAGACTCAAAACTTGATTGTTAACGAAAATTACTTTTTAACAACCTAAATCTTTAAAAACTCAAAACTTTTAAAAACTATAATCTCTTACACAAATTTCAAAATCTATTTCAGAAACGACTAAGGACAATTATCGAGAGGGATAAAACGATAATTTTACAAAAGCTTTCAAAATTGACCTTCCATGCCATTGCATACACTTTCTCTTCTTGCCTTGCCTTTTTTTCGAACTTTCTCTCCCTCCCCAACTAAATAGTTACTTCTTATGAAATTCTATTTGACCAAAAGTATATTTTAAATAAAAGCGTAAGTCATCTGCAGCCCCTTAAAGTTGTCAGCATAATTCATTTAGACACCTTAACTAGGACCTATACCTATTGAACACCTCTACCCTCTAGAATTTGAACCATTTAAACACTTTATGCAGATGTGGCATAAGAAGTGTGATGCACGCTTGGTAAGCGCGTGAAATCGTAATTTTAACATTTTCCTTTTTATCTTTCAATTTTTTCTTTTTTTTCCTTTTAATTTTTCTATATTTTATTTTTCTCTCTCTCTTTTTTTTTTAAAAAAACAAGTTTGTATTTTTGCAGAATACTCCCGTCATTTCTGCAGCCATTCTTGAAAACAATTTGATGTCACTTTTTTCTTATATGAATTTCCATTTTTTTGTTCTTAATTTTGTTTAATTTATTTTCTTATCATTATATTATTAATTTTGTAGATGTAGAAAGAACTTTCCTTTTTTTTTCTTCTGAAAAATAAAGATCAAATATCAGCGGTTCTTTACCGAAAAAATGAAGATATAAATCTACATCTTCTTCGCTAAAAAAATGGAGACCAACAATGGTGAAGAAGGGTGAGTATTAGGAAAAGGAAGAAAAGGACATTGGGGTTGGGATGCAATGGGAGGTGGGTGAGAGGTGTATAATTTTATTTTTTTTTTTAAAAAAAGTTGGGAAACTTTTCTTTTTAATTTTTGACTTATTTATATTAAGAAATTATAATTATATTTTTTTAAAATTAAAATGCCACGTGTCTTTATTTGATTTGCTATATTGACACATCATATGCATGTGTATCACACACACTTCCTTTTTTTTACTCAGTATCAAAAAAATGTTCAATAGTTATTTATATTTTAAGATTGAAGTGTCTAATAGGAAATGGGGTCTATTAAAGTGTCTAAATGAATTATGCGGGCAACTTCAAGGGGCCACACATGACTTCGGCCTTAAATAAATATATGTTCTAAAATTTTGATTAAACATCAGTATATTTTTTCTGAAAAAATAAAAACATGCTGTTTTCCAATAAATAAAACAACTTTTTTTTATAAAGAATATTTATCTAGTAAAACTAAAAAAAAAGGAAAAATGTTATCAAATTAGATGTACCTTATTAAACTAAATGAAAATGCATCTATGGATTCAAATTTAAACCTTATGATAATAATAGTATATTAATTAGTCAATCAAACCGTTGCATACAATTATTAAACAAATCGAATATACCCTTTTTGCCCCCTATTCTATATTTTAAAATTCTCTCTGAAAAAATAAATAATAATATTCCTCATTACATTTCATTATTTTTCAACTCTAAATCTTCCCGCCCACACACTCTCTTTCTCATCCTCACAAATCTCACCATTTTTTTCAAAAATTTTCAGTAGATTTTTGTTTGATTTCAATTCATTTCTTCAGTAAATCTCTTTGATTAGCAGAGAAAAGAACTGTATTTGTTTCAATTTCAGATTCAGAAAAAGAGGAAAAACCCTAGCTAAATTTTGTGTGAGCAAGTGAAAAAATATGAATCAATATCATATATATGAAGCTATTGGCCGTGGAAAACACTCGGTAATGGTTTTCTTTTTGTTCCTGTTCTTGTTCTGTTTGCATTTTTTGGGTTAACTTTGTTGTTTAAGTTTTTTGTTTTTTTATTCGCAGACTGTATATAAAGGGAGGAAAAAGAAGACAATAGAGTATTTTGCGATTAAAAGTGTGGATAAATCTCAGAAAAACAAGGTTCTTCACGAAGTAAGAAACCCCTGGAAAAAAAGTTTCTGTCTTTGTTTTGAATTTTAATTTTAATTGTATTTTGAGATTTATTTCGTATAGAATTTGTTAGGGACGTGGAATTGGATCGTTGAAGGTTTGAATTTGATTTCATCTACAATAATATACGTAGTGTAATCTCATAAGTGGGGTCTGGGGAGGATAGAGTGTACACACACCTCATTATTACCTTGGGAGGTAGAGAGACTAGACTGTTTTTGATAGATCCTTGGCTGAATTTGCTTGCACCTCTGTTTATATAATTGTGGAAGTGCCTGATTTATCCTCTTGATAACAGTGGTATTTGCGCCACCTTGTATTGTAGGACATAGTACTGTCTATTAAACTATGCACACCAAGGTTTAGGTGATGAGAAGATTTCACCTATCATTGTCTTTGGTGAAATTCGAACCTTAGTTTCCAAGCTGTTACTTGATCTATTTGATTGCTAGGCCAGGATGAGACTGTACGATTTAATTGGTAACAGGGCTGCAGAGTTTATTGCCTACCTAGTAGCTCTATTAGAATTTTGAAAACTTCATAATATTGACTTTCATTGTAGTCAACTTCTTCTAGAGGAATAGACAAAAAGTATTTAATAACTATTTGCGAACCCTCCTCAGTGGAATTTAGAAATCGTTTGCAGGAAGAAAATACTTATAACATGTTGTGTACGTTATGCATTGACTTGCTGTAAAAATTCGATAGGTGCCTGCTAATCTGCAGTTGCTCAATAGATCTGCATACTCAATTGTTCTAACATTATCGGTAGTTCCTGCACATTTTCAAAAGCAGCTGAACTACTTCAGAAGCTAAATGTATATTCTTTTAGTAAGTTTGGTCTTAGAAAAAAACTTACCTTATCATATTTATAGTTGTTATGGATTGTTGTGCTTGTGACTATTGTAGTTGTGAGATTATTGGAAATTATGCGAGTCATAACACAGTCTTCCTATTCTGTGTCATAAAATTGAAGTTTGGTGAACAAATTGATCAAGAAACCCAATCTTTTCTTAAAATCTATTTCCTTCAGTTTCCTTTATGCATGTATTTTATTCTTCTATTGGCTACATTTATTGCAGGTCAGAATTCTTCATTCTCTAGATCATGCAAATGTGTTGAAGTTCTACTCCTGGTAAGAATTATCTTTTTCCTTTCTTGCATATAACTTCTTTTTTTTATATTCAATTTCGTTGAAGGGGTGAAGTCTTTTTGGCGTTTAATAAGAAGATTCCTGACTTATTTTCTTAATCAACTGACCCGTAGGTATGAAACATCTGCACACCTGTGGTTGGTTTTAGAATATTGTGTTGGAGGAAATCTCATGAGCTTGCTTCAGCAGGTAAGCACTGGCAGGTCTGCCGTTTTTCATAAATAAATTTCATCATTTCAGTGGTATAACTACTTACCAAATGAGGTGTGTTTTGCCAGTGTTTGCCTATAGGATGCCTCATGCAGCATTAGATATAAACCTCCAAATTTTTGACATTACCCTAATTCTTCTTGGTTTTCTTTTTAATAGAGGCATAAAACATTGAGGTTTCATGGTAAGTTTGTTGCATGCCTACATTGGGATTCCCAAACAGGCACTAAGGACATTGGTTTCTTGTGGGATTGACCACTTCAATTTTAAATGATTGTTTGTAGTTTCACAAATGAATTTTGTCGACACTTTGGGCTAACTTGTTTCTTGTACCAGTAAATTGAGGTGAAGGAAGTAGGTTCCTTTTTTTGATTTGTATTTTGAGAGTAGTCAAATGACCACACTTTACTGGTAGTTGGTAATGTCACATCCTTATCATCTTACCTGTATTTTAGTTTTAACCACACCTGGGAGATTTTAACATCATTTAATCTTTGGGTTGAAGGATGGTAAGCTTCCTGAAGATTCAATTCATGATCTTGCTTGTGGCCTTGTTAGAGCTCTTCTGTAAGTAACTTTAGCCTTAATTCTTCTTTTGTAACACTTGTTGTTTTGGGCATGAATAACCTTTCTGGTGTCTACTATACCAGATACTTACATTCAAAGGGAATAATTTATTGCGACTTAAAGCCATCAAACATCCTATTGGATGAAAATGGAATCACAAAGGTATGGTGATCTTTATGTTGTGATTTTTCCACATTGTGATGAGTTCTTTTGACCAATTATATGACTTTGAAGTTGAATTTGTTTCCTGGCAGCTGTGTGATTTTGGATTAGCAAGAAAATTGAGTGATATATCAAAGACACCTTCCTCCCAGGTAGTTCAACTCTCTTTCCCTTCCTTTTTCCCTAAACTGAACACAGGAAAAGTTAAATTGGTGGCATAACTGTTTTGCAGTTCATTAAAGGTAAATCCTGAATGGTGCACTGGTCAATTCATTTTTTTTAATAAGGGTAGTGTGCGGGTTCGCTTGCGCGCACCTCCACTGGGTATGCGTTGCTTCCACCAACATAGGGTACCGACTGGGTAACTCTATCCACCACTTCATAGAAGGATGACAAGAAACCACCAAGTGTTTTTTGTTGTTATTGAGATTTGAACCCTAATTTCCAAGGTTTGCACCCACTTCATTGGTCCACTTTCTTTGGTGACTGTGCACAAGTCAAGTCTGGTCACTTTTGTGTTTGTAGAAGTGGTTTATATTCACCTGTAGGAGAAATTCTAAAGGTATTGTGACAGCTTTTGCAAGCTTTTCGTTCTTACATTAGGCACCTTCTCATCTGAGGCTGCGCTTTAGAATTAGGAAACTGAGCCAGAAAACATAAAAGGAAGCCAAAAGAAAGAGATTTTTGTTCTTCTGGTGCAGAAAGTGAGGAAAACTTAAGAGGAACACGGTTTTCGTTGTTTGGACATTGAAAAGAAGCAAAAGAAACATCTTACAGTGAGCTAACTTCTAGTCATTTCTGCAGAAATTCTCTAAATTATTCTTTTTTTGGTCTGTCTAGAGAAATTTCAAAGTCAAGACTCAAGAGGACGCACAAGGTCTCTCAAAGATCTTACAATTAGTTGACTTCTTCCTTCCTTTGCTTTTACTTCTCAATTCACAAATCACACATGGAAACCACAGTTCTAAATTCTTTTGTATTTTCCCTTTAATCAACTACCGAATAGAATATAGAATTTATAAAGTGATAGTTATTGCTTCCGGTTTTGATTTGTGTCTTTTCCCTACTTTGTCATTCATATGTGCTATTTTTGTATCATGTATTTTTCAGTTACCACAAATAAAGCGAGGAACCCCATATTACATGGCTCCAGAGCTTTTCCAAGATGGAGGGGTCCATTCCTATGCCTCTGATTTCTGGGCTCTTGGTTGTGTCTTGTTTGAATGCTATGCTGGGATACCTCCTTTTGTTGGCAAAGAATTTACCCAGCTAGTGAGATCAGTCATTTCTGATCCAACTCCAGCACTTCCTGGCACGCCAAGCCGCCCCTTGGTCAATCTGATTAATTCTCTTCTTATAAAAGATCCTTCTGAAAGAATGCAGTGGCCCGAGCTTGCAGGACATGCTTTCTGGAAAACAAGATTTGCTCCAGTGCCATTACCTCCTCAGCCTGCTTTTGATAATATGATAGAAATGTCTTCTAAGCAATGCCTTTCAGAAAGGAACAGTGAAAAGCCAATACAAAACAAGACCCCACAAAAGACTCGTGAAAAAGATTCTAAGGTGTCCCTCAAGCATGATGAAAATTCAAATACTGGATCCAGAGGTTACGTGACACCAATTAAAGGCATATCCAGTGGCCGGAAAGCTCAAGCGAAGGGTTCTGGCAAGACAACTGATGACAAGCAGAAAGACACCTCGAACAATACTAGAGGTGTCAATCTATTACGTCTTTCAAGAATTGCAAAATCAAATTTAATGAGGGAGAATGAGAAGGAGAACTACCGTAGGCCACTGCCTAATAACTCTGAGAATGATGCTGAACTTAAGGTTGAAAATACTGACATGGAACTTGACTTTAATGAGAATAATGAGGATGATACACAAGATGAACCTGATGAAACTGATAGCACTCAGAGTCCCGAGTCAACTACTTCAACTCCAAATCTGACGGAGGGTAATATGGAAGAGATGGATATTGATAGCAGACATCCAGATACACCAGCTGTGGTTAATACACCTTGCTCAGATTATTCAAGGACATCTGACCATGAACAGTCTTCTAAATATGAAGTGGCTGCTATGCTACCTAATGATAGCCCTCAGCTAAAGACTCCTGTGATTAAAGAGAACTCTGCGAATATCTCTGATATCTCAAAACCATCTACGAACCTTTCAGATATTCTTTGGCATCCATCTGATCTCTCAGTCAGACCTGTAATGCCTAGCAGAAAATCAGATAAAGGTTCAGATGCAATTCCTTCACTTCCATTCGATGCACCTCAACTGTCTGATTTTGTCAAAATGTCGAAGGAGCAATTAGACTCTTTTAATAGTAGAATCATCAGTATTGTTAGTGGGAATACTCCCTCAGGGGAGAAGCAAAATGTGATCAGATACCTTGAGCTTTTGAGCAGCAATGCTGATGCAGCCAACATCTTGACCAATGGGTCTATTATGCTGGTTCTAGTCAAAATGCTTCGTCACTCCAAGGTTACTCTGTTGCGTGCTCAACTTGCTTCACTTATCGGTTTGTTGATTCGTCACTCAACTTTTATTGGGGATGAGCTGGCAAATTCTGGAATATTAGGTGCACTAACTGATGGTCTGAGAGACAGGCAAGAAAAAGTGAGAAGGTTTTCCATGGCTGCTTTGGGTGAATTACTATTTTATATATCTACTCAAAATGAGCATGCTCGGGATAACAAACCAATGGAATCTCCATCTAAGGACAGCCGACCCTCATCCTGTTGGCAGGTAACTTCGTTGCTGTAATTTCTTATTTGGTGCAACTTGTCAAGTTAATTACTCCCTCCGTTTTCATTTTTGTTCGATTTTGACTTGGCATAGAGTTTAAGAAAGTTAAGAAGATTTTTGAATCTTGTGCACTTAAATTAAAGATATATAGAATGCACCAAATGTTCTTAAATCTTGTGGTCTTAAACATGTCATATGAAAAGATGAAATTAAAGAGTTGCCAAAAAAGAGAAGGCACATTTTTTTTAAAGGACCCAAAAGGAAAGTAGGACAAACAAATTGAATTGGAGGGAGTATTATATTCGTTTAAATTCCTTTCCACAATAAATTACTAAGCTATATTCCAATGGGGTTTTAAGTGTTCTATGAGCAATCACTTAAAAGCATAGGCACTATCAGAAACACAATTCAAGCACCAATGCAGCTCTTATGAGAAAAAGTTATCACTAGGATATAGATGGTATACTTATTAATGGGTTACACACCTTACACCAGTAATCTTTTAATTAGTGATAATTATAGTCACGTATACTATCAGACATATAAGTGTATACAATGATTATCTTGTAGTAAATCATGTCTATAAATCTGCATGGAACAAATTTCTAACATGAAGAATAGATGGATGACAAATGACAACTTGGCATAGACTTCAATTTTTCCCGTAAGCTATCTTCCCTTATCATGAAATATTGTTGAATCTATATATACAAGATTCTACAAGTTTTTCTCTGTATTTCTGGAAGAACTAATAAGCTGGCAATTCCCTTGTAATGCAACATTATATAGCAGTAAAATGAACAAGAGTGTTAAGATATTTCTCTTGGGGTTGTGGGAGAAATAAGATAAAATCATACAAGCATCTATACTATCTTTAATTCTTTACATATTGCAAAACCTCGCATTTCCTTTCTGAAAATGTTAATGTTTTAGGTGACAAGTCCAATAATTTCATTGGTTTCATCACTTTTACGGAACGGAGAAGATGATATTACTCAACTTTATGCTCTGAGGACAATTGAAAATATCTCCAGTCAAGGAGGGTACTGGTCTGCTCGTTTCACCAGCCAAGATGTCATTACTAACCTCTGCTACATATTTAGGGCTCCTGGAAAGCAGGAGAGCATGAGGCTGACAGCAGGGTCTTGCTTGGCTCGTCTTGTTCGTTTTAGCCCTTCTAGTATTCAACGAGTCATGGAAAAACTTTCATTCAAGGATATGGTTTCAAGCCTGGTCAAGCGTAATCCACGAGAGCAACAAATCTGCTTAAACATTCTGAACATGACTCTCCTAGAAAGTCATACACTTCCAAGTATTGGAAGGTACCTTCTTGCCTTGGTCGAAGACAAGAATCTTGTTCTGAATCTTGTGACTCTAATTGAGCAGGGAAGTGAAGTTTTGAAGGGAAAGGCACTCATATTTGTGGCTCTACTTTGTATGAATGGAAAGAGGTGGCTGCCACTATTCTTTTGCAATGCTAAACTGCTCTCAACCGTTGATAGGTTGGTTAAGGAGAAGGATGACTTTGTGAAGCAGTGTTTAGATGCACTTGGGATGGTTATCGCATCAACTGTACCAAGTTTGCTTGAATGTATATCTGGGGACATTCAGCAACTGAAGGGTGGTAAACGCCGTGGGCAGATAATTAGTGTCACAAGTCGAAATTCTTCTAAGAACAGTATGCATTTATTTCCTGTTGTTCTCCATCTTCTTGGGTGCGCTTCACTGAAAAGAAGGGTTGCTAATCATCAGGTTCTGCAACAGTTGGCAAATCTACTTAAACTGGTGGAGTCTCCTTTCCAGGTAATCTGATGATATCTTTGTTGCATCTTCTAATTGTAAAATTTCACATATAAGCAAGATTCTTACTTAGAAGAAAAGAAAAATCCAAATGTTTCAAAAGCCCACATAGAAGACATATAATCCTTGTCCTAGATTTGGAACCTTCAATTTAATATGGTTCGTTTACAAGACCTCCTGTTAATCGTCACCTGAGCCAAGTGTTAGCCACCAAGCTAATATGCTCCAAACTCTGGTAAAGAAGGGTGGGTGTAGGAGTGCATAAGATTAGGTTGAATGATCTGTCAATGTGGACTGTTTATTTTAAACACTCAAGAGTTGTTTGGTAGGATGTATTGCCCTTGGTATTATTTAATACCTTGTCTGGTAGTGTTTTCAACGTATGTATAGCTAATATATCTATAACTAATCCTACTTAGTACTATAGGGTGTATAACTAATACATAGCAACCCATGGTATCAGCAATACCAGTATTATTGATACTAGGTTAAAGACAGAACTACCTTGAATACACCTACCAAATCACGGATAAGAAATGATCCCAGCATTGCTAATAATACCCTATTCAGTACTATTATTATACACCCTACCACATGGCTTAGGGATTTAGCTTAGTTTTCTCAAAATTTTGATCCATGATAAACTGAAGATGCATGCAGAAGATTGGGTTTCTTGTTGGTCTACGAAGCACTTACACGATTCTTACTTTCGGTTGCAGGGTAGAGATGATTTTCAGATAACACTTTTACGTGTTCTTGAGTCTATAGCAGAGGAGATGTCTCTGGTTCAAGATAGTTCTAGCATTTTTATTAGCCAGATTCTACCTAGTTTATCTGTTGTTTACAAAGGGAATAAAGATGGAGATGCCAGATTCTTGTGCCTGAAGATTTTGTTTGATGTGATGGTCATTTTACTGGATGAAACATCTGAAAATGAACAGAAGCCGGAGAATTTGAAGTCCATATCTAATTCTTACTTCCTCCCTCTCTACCCCTCTTTGATTGAGGATGAGGACCCAATACCTGTGTATGCTCAGAAACTTCTTGTGATGCTCATCGAGTATAACCATATAAATATTGCAGACATTGTCCACATGAAGATAATCTCCCAGTGCTTTGAATTTCTCCTTGGTGATTTCTCAACTGCAAATGTCAACAATGTACTGCTCTGCTTGGCTCTTACATCTGCTCCAGAGCTGGAAACCAAATCTCTCTCCCAACTAAAAGTTGTCAGAAAGATCGGAAGCCTTTTGGAATTTGTATATGCTAAGGAGATGGAAGATTTCATTGAACCTACACTTCGTTTGTGTAGGGCTTTCCTTTTACGCTCAGTAGGCACTGTGAGAGGCTCTATGTTTGCAAAAGAACCTGTTCGTTTATATGAAAATTCCTCAGATGGAGCTAGTGCCTTTGATCAAAATGAATGCATCAGAGATATTATGGACTTTGGTGAAAATGTTGGGGTCTTATTAGAACTCACCCATCTGAATGAGATTAATGTTGCAGATTTAGCTTCTGAATGCTTAATTTTATTGCTCAAGGCAGCTCCAAGGGAAGCTACCACTGGGTTCCTGACAAATCTTCCCAAAGTCAGTCTCATCCTTGAGTCATGGAGACAAAGCATATCTCACTTGCTGTTGCAACGAATTCTGATCGCACTTGGTTATTCTTGTAGACAGTACCTGTCACATGCTATGATATTGTCAATAAGTTTGCCTGAGATATCGAAAATCGAAGGGATTGTTTCTCAGGTCAAAAGCTCCACAATACCATCTCTCGTTGATGCTGTTTCTCGTGCAGCATTGGAGCTTCAGAGACTGCCTCGTTGCATTTGAGTTTGAAAAGGTTAGTTGTTTGCTTTGGTTGTATGCCGCTTTCTTACTCTTCTTTTTCCATGAGGAGTTATCACATCATAATAAACCTTGGTCATCGCTCGGATTTCAACTTATTGAAACCTTAAACATTTCCTTTGCTCTCAGCGCAGCCAACTATGTGTTGAATCATGTTATATCTCCCTTTTGGGACAGATACATAAACTGCAGCTCGGATCAAATGGATATTGTGAATGAGGAGATAACTGTGGTTGTCATCGACTTTTTGTATAAACCAATGTATGACTTATCATCCTTAATATCTTCAATTGAGTGATAATTCTTTGAAATACTTCATGCAGATTCCAGTAAATTTTTGTAATCAACAGTAAGCCATAATAGCTCAATTTTTATGCCCTTTTCCAGGTTCTGCACCTTTCATTTTGAGGTAAAGACTTTTACCTTCTACATGGCCACCCTCTCCCTCCCACATTTTATACACAATTTACATACAATTTGGTGGTATGTATAAGTTATGATAAAGTATGTGCAAAATGGGTATAAAAATTGTATTTTCAAACATTTGATCAGTTTGTTTCCTTGTCATGTTTCATTCAATATCTTACAACTTACATACAATTTGGTGGAGGGTTGTGCAAGACTGTATTGGAAATATTACACTCCCCTCTATTTCTAATGCCCTAAAACTTTGTTTCGAGAATCAAAATTATAGTCAAGGGTGTTTTCTCAATCCAATATGTGCATGTCATGCGTTTAGATTTATAGTTCATTTTACTTAACTTTAATTAATTAACATGCGTTTTACTTCATTAAATAAAAGAATAATGAATATTGAATTAGTTTGAAGTAGACACTCGGTGTGGATAAGTTTTTTCCCTGTGATAAGTCTTAACTGCATCCTCAAACATAGAATTTTAGAACTATTTACCTTCTAATTTATAAGAAGTCTTAATTACGCTCTCTTGCTTTTGATTCAATTAATATGACTTGCTTGCTTTTCTTTTCAGAATCTCAAAAGGAATGACAAATTCTTAGATTTAGTTAAAATTTAACTAAAATTTTTTGTTAACTCCTGATGAAATGATTTATAGTCATATAAATACTTATGACTTATTGTTTTAGATTTTTTGTCAAGTCAAAGTACGTCCTATAAATAGAAATAGGATTAAACTTTTACTAAACATAGAAATATGCTTTTTTTTTGCGCAGGGAAAGTGAGTCATATAAAATGACTTGGAGTAATTTTTTAAGGGTAATTAAGACATTTCACAATTAGAGGTGTGAAGAGTTCCAAAAATCTATGTTTAAGGGGAATAATTAAGACATTTCTTAGTTTAGGGGGTGTAAAGAGTTCCAAAAATCCATGTTTAAGGGGGTATTAAGACTTTTCATAGGTTAGGTTTGCATGCCAAGTTTAAGAGGCTTTTTAGCTATTAACTCAATAAAATAAGGTTTGGCTCTTGGATGGAGATCACGGATCTTAAAATACTTAAATGCACTCCAAGAAAAGTTAAAATAAAAACTAGAGGTTTGAGACTTCCTATAGGTTCAGATGATAATTTGAAATTTGGTTGAATAGTTTGGACGGGTCCCTAGAGGCTCGTGTTTCAGATACTTCAATTGAAAATTAATGAATATAATAAATAAGAATTGATGAGGATCAAGTATGTGTCTATACAACCTTCCTAACCTTGGCTAGATCAATTGAAACTTGGTGCCTTAACTTGGGTCCGGATTTGGTGGGTCGAAACGACTCGAATCAAGACGACTCCAGTCGAGTTTCCTCCGGGACTAGGATCAATCGAGTTGCGATACTTGTGACAAAATGGAAGTTCCCTCCTGTCACTTTCGAGCCAACACCCTAGATGTGACCGACACTCGAGAATCGTTGTTGGTCTTCAAGCGAACCCTTAGCATGGCTAACTAAAAACTAACTCAAGCAGAATCAAGTTTTAAACATAATTAAACCTTTTAATCTCAAAGTACTCGAATGTTTCAAAAATACTTCAAAAACAAGAATTGTTGAAATGCAATTTAATTATACCGAAAATATATTCAAAACTAACAATCTATGAAGCCTTTGTTGTTCTAGACTGATGTTGGTTCAAGACCCACGACACCTCAAAGTAAATAACTAAAATATAAAAGTAGAGTCCTCTAGAATGCAAGGAGGCTCAACTAAGCTAACTGGAAGTGCAAGTGATTTCAATGAAGAGTCTTCTGTATCTGCATCATAAAAAGATACTGATAGAATGATATCAATACATTGAATGTATGAGTATGTAATATAACTAAAGCAAAATAACTGAATGAAAGAACTACAATACATATAAATATTTACTCAACTGTAAGTAAAGAAATAAATGAGTGAAAATATTTAAACTTTACAAATACCTACTCATCTGTGAACTCAAAATATTAAGTGATATGATAAAAATACACTTTTAATTCTATCTGGGAGATCCTCTAATCGATAACCATCACTATGAGGAACGCGACGGTATAACGTCTTGTTCATGCTGCCAGAACTGTCCTATACCTTGCAGAGAAATAGAACATTTCAACTAAGTGGATCCACTAAGGCTTTGCTTGAAAGCAATAAGGAGTCGTCTAAATAATACGATCTTTTACCCATGTTGGCTACATAATTTATGAGGGATGTTACTTGTCTGAACTCATTCCCATATCGGTGCTCAATACTACTCTCAATAAATATATGGTCATGCTAAAATGTATAAAACATATTGTTTCTCAATTTTGAGATAATTTCTCAAGATATCCTCTTTAAGGAGGTAATGTTTTGAAATATCTCTAAACTCGTTAACTCATTTGGAAATCAAAATACTATTTTTCTCAATGTAAAAAGTGATACATTCGGAAATACATAGTTCCCTTATACTCTTACTCAAATCATGTTTAAAACTCTTTCTCAAAACTTATCTTTACTTGCTCCGAAAATCAGCTTAAGACAAAAATGTTTGCTTTAAAAGATTCTCAAAAATTACAACTCAAAAAAGGATTCATGCTGAAATATAAACATGAACACCTTAACTCAAGGATATCAATAACAATATAGAGAACTCAATACTAAGAAATCAAAAACTCAAGATTCGACGATATTACTCACCTCAAAAATACTTAAAATTCATGATAAAATCCTAGATTACTCTTTTACTGAATTTAGATAGATATAGGGTGTGAGGACGAACATAGTCCACCATTATGATAGCCTTACATACACTGAAGAACAAAGTTCTTGGTGAAATCGGTGAAAATTCAAAGAACGCTCAAAATCTTAGCTTTCTCCTCTTGGATCCTTGCTTTAAGACTTGGAAGCATTAAAGAACGTAAAGGATTCATTAACACTGTTCAAACCCTTAACTAGTCTTAAAAACTGGAAAAAAACCCTTCACGGATCATTCGTGGTTTGATCTACGGACGTAAATCCCATCTGTGCATTTTGTATTGAATTTTAAGACTCAAATTTTGTTCTATGAGTTCAATCTACATACTACGTGTAAACCTACTTAAAATGTGAGTCCAATAGTACTTACGGATCACAAGCCTATAGCATTTTGTGTTTTTTAGGCCTCCTGGTAAAATCCATGATTTAAATGTTACTTATAGGATAATCTCGAATTCCCATACAAATAGCTTTCAAAAGGAGCTAATTCCAAGTGATGTTGGATTTTATAGGCTTATGTACCTAAGAATATGCAACAAAGTATTTTTTTCAAAGAGGACATGTGCTTTTCTGATGCATAAAGAGACTATGAAAATTTATATATTGTTATTGTAAAAGAAATAAAAATTATATACACAAAGGGTTGACACAAATTTGTTAAAGCTAAAGGTTTAAGAGCAAAAGATACAATTATTTGCGAAAATAATTGTACTTTGCTCCTAAACCTCCGGCTTTCACAAACTCATGCCAACCCTTTTGGAAAATAATTTTTTTGATTTCTTTTGCAACAATACATGAACTTTCATAATCTTCTTGATATATCATAAAATCTCATGTTCATCTTTGAATTTAAGAAAAAGAAATACTGCATCTGTTTTGAAAAGGATGATCTAGTTTGACTTGGAATAGAGTTTAAGAAAAGAAAGAAGACTTTTTAATCGTGTTGTTCTAAATTAAAGTTATGTCAAATGTACCAAAATGTCATTTAATCTTGTGGTCTTAAACATGCCACGTGGAAAGTTAAAGTTAAACTGTTGCCAAAAAAGAAAAGTGATCATTCTTTTTGAAACAGACTAAAAAGGAAATATGGTCATTCTTTTTGAAACGAAAGGAGTAAATTATTACATATTTATTAAGTATATACAAGACTAGAAAGTCCAACATCATCCATCATTATCCTAAGTAGCACTGGAATCATGATTTTAATGTTACTTATAAGATAATGTTGAATTCTCATACAAATAACTTTTCAAAAGGAGCTAACTCCAAGTGATATTGGATTTTAGAGGCTTATATACCTAAGAAATATGCAACAACATATTTTCTTCAAATCCAAAGTGATGACATGGGATTTTATGATGCATAAAGAGACTATCAAAGTTTAGATATTGTTATTTTTGTAAAAGAAATGAAAAAATTATTTACACGAAGAATTGACATAGATTTGTGAAAGCTAAAGGTTTAAGAGCAATTACAATTATTTGAAAATAATTGTACCGTTTGGTCTTAAACCTCTGTCTTTCACAAACTTATGCCAACCTTTTTGCAATAACAATACCTGAACTGTATGTGTTTATCTCTGGTATGACATAAAACAACATACACATTTAGTGTAATTCCACAAATGACGTATAAGGAGAGTAGCATCTACACATACCTTAGGACAATGCCCATTAAGTTGGCCTAAACCACCTTTGAGTCTTCATCTAGAATTGCAAGTTTTTTTCTCAGATGCATGAATCTTGTATTTTTTGGGCAATAGATGATTGCTCGCTCTTAAAACGCAATCACCAATTGTTACTTATGTGATTATACTTGATATTAAGGTCATTTCGTCTTTCATGTTGAATCATAAGAATTTTTTTTTCTAAAAAAAAAGATATTTTGAGAAAATCTATGAAAATATTAGAGATTGGTAGGTAGTTAGGTACAATTTCAAATGCTGAATTTTATTGTTCAGACACAAAGATTAAAATATAAAATAATAATATTAAAAATGGACAATATAATAGATGGTCTCACTCAATTAATGTTTATTATCATAGAAAGACATTCTTCTTGTTGATTTTCAATTTTTTTAACAAGTAAATGACTTTCTGAGATGATAAATATTAGCTGAGTGACCATCTGGGAGGTCAATACAATTCTCTCTTAAATTCTATTTTTTTTCTTTTCAAATTTCACAAAATTTATGTCCAAACGTCCATCAAAACAAAAGACTTTCTCTGTTTTTACAAATCAAAAGAGAAAAGAACTATCAAGATATTCATTGAAAGATTTAAACCAGAATATTTTTTGCAAAATTATAGAAACAAGAATTCATGTGAAAAAATACAAGGAGAATGAACAAAAACAAACCTAATTATGTCAATCATTAATGACAGATTCACATAACCCGACCTTTTTGTCGAGAAAATTTAAAGATCTACTGCATCCACCAGAGTATATATACCTCTGCAAAAAAGAGAAAGTTAAAGGAGATACAAAGAATTACAAAGATAAAAAAGAAATGATACCTACTACAACGAGCTGAGAAAGAGAAAGTATATAGCGTCAGGAGATACACATAAATGTTCCATAGAGCGAGGAGGCGGAAAGTAAGTCAAGTTCAAACCAACTCCAGGAGAAAATGTATTGATGAAAGAGGCGGAGTGAAATGACGAGTATCAGGAAACCCTATCATTTAGAATGAATTTATAGAGTGGTCTATTTCCTATTTTTGATGGACCCAGTTAGGTTGTACTTGTTTGATTTATTTGGGCTTATGTTGGGCCTTTTTGTACAAAATTTTTGTAATGGAATAAAGGAGCTAGACGCTCCGCAATTTTATTTTTAAAGAATAGTAAAAGTGATATTATTTTTATAAGAACAAGAAAATTCTTATTATTATGATAGGAAAAATAAACAAAAATATTTATATATATGATTGTACCATAGAGATTGTAGTGATTTTAATTAATTTAATTAATTCAATAGATTAGTTGGAGAATTGATGGAAGTTTCAAACTTGTACATGGTAACTTTGTTTGTTAGTAATAGATAAATATGATTTGTTTGACACACTTTTTATGGAGTAATGATTAGTTGAAATATCTCTAAACTCGTTAACTCATTTGGAAATCAAAATATTATTTTTCTCAATGTAAAAAGTAACTTATTTGGAAATCAAAATATTATTTTTCTCAATGTAAAAAGTAACTCATTTGGAAATCAAAATACTATTTTTCTCAATGTAAAAAGTGATACATTTGGAAATACATAGTTCCCTTATACTCTTACTCAAATCATGTTTAAAACTCTTTCTCAAAACTTATCTTTACTTGCTCCGAAAATCAGCTTAAGACAAAAATGTTTGCTTTAAAAGATTCTCAAAAATTATAACTCAAAAAAGGATTCATGCTGAAATATAAACATGAACACCTTAACTCAAGGATATCAATAACAATATAGAGAACTCAATACTAAGAAATCAAAAACTCAGAATTCGACGATATTACTCACCTCAAAAATACTTAAAATTCATGATAAAATCCTAGATTACTCTTTTACTGAATTTAGATAGATATAGGGTGTGAGGACGAACATAGTCCACCATTATGATAGCCTTACATACACTGAAGAACAAAGTTCTTGGTGAAATCGGTGAAAATTCAAAGAACGCTCAAAATCTTAGCTTTCTCCTCTTGGATCCTTGCTTTAAGACTTGGAAGCATTAAAGAACGTATTAACACTATTCAAACCCTTAACTAGTCTTAAAAACTGGAAAAAAACCCTTCACGGATCATTTGTGGTTTGATCTACGGACGTAAATCCCATCTGTGCATTTTGTATTGAATTTTAAGACTCAAATTTTGTTCTATGAGTTCAATCTAAATACAACGTGTAAACCTACTTAAATTATTTGAGTCCAATAGTACTTAGGGATCACAGGCCTATAACATTTTGTGTTTTTTAAGTCCTCTTGGTAAAATCCATGATCTTAATGTTACTTATAGGATAATCTCGAATTCCCATACAAATAGCTTTTAAAAGGAGCTAACTCCAAGTGATGTTGGATTTTGTAGGCTTATATACTTAAGAATATGCAACAAAGTATTTTTTTCAAAGAGGACATGTGCTTTTCTGATGCATAAAGAGACTATGAAAATTTATATATTGTTATTGTAAAAGAAATAAAATTATATACACAAAGGGTTGGCACAAATTTGTTAAAGCTAAAGGTTTAAGAGCAAAAGATATAATTATTTGCGAAAATAATTGTACTTTGCTCCTAAACCTCCGGCTTTCACAAACTCATGCCAACCCTTTTGGAAAATAATTTTTTTGATTTCTTTTGCAACAATACATGAACTTTCATAATCTTCTTGATATATCATAAAATCTCATGTTCACTTTGAATTTAAGAAAAAGAAATACTGCATCTGTTTTGAAAAGGATGATCTAGTTTGAATTGGAATAGAGTTTAAGAAAAGAAAGAAGACTTTTTAATCGTGTTGTTCTAAATTAAAGTTATGTCAAATGTACCAAAATGTCATTTAATCTTGTGGTCTTAAACATGCCACGTTGAAAGTTCAAGTGTTGCCAAAAAAGGAAAGGGGTCATTCTTTTTTAAACAGACTAAAAAGAAAATAGGGTCATTCTTTTTTAAACGGAGAGAGTAAGTTATTACATATTTATTAAGTATATACAAGACTAGAAAGTCCAACATCATCTATCATTATCCTAAGTAGTACTGAAATCATGATTTTAATGTTACTTATAAGATAATGTTTGAATTCTCATACAAATAACTTTTCAAAAGGAGCTAACTCCTAGTGAACTATATTGGATTTTAGAGGCTTATATACCTAAGAAATATGCAACAACATATTTTCTTCAAATCCAAAGTGATGACATGGGATTTTATGATGCATAAGAGACTATCAAAGTTTAGATATTGTTATTTTTGAAAAAGAAATGAAAAAATTATTTACACAAAGAATTGACATAGATTTGTAAAAGCTAAGGGTTTAAGAGCAAAAGATACAATTATTTGAAAATAATTGTATCGTTTGGTCTTAAACCTCCGTCTTTCACGAACTTATGCCAACCCTTTTGCAATAACAATACCTGAACTGTATGTATTTATCTCTGGTATGACATAAAACAACATACAAATTTAGTGTAATTCCACAAGTGACGTATAAGGAGAGTAGCATCTACACATACCTTAGGACAATGTCAATTAAGTTGGCCTAAACCACCTTTAAGTCTTCATCTAGAATTGCAAGTTTTTTTCTCAGATGCATGAATCTTGTATTTTTCGGGCAATAGATGATTGCTCGCTCTTAAAACGCAATCACCAATTGTTATGTATGTGATTATACTTGATTTTAAGGTCATTTCGTCTTTCATGTTGAATCATAAGAACTTTTTTTGTTCTAAAAAAAAAAACATATTTTGAGAAAATCTATGAAAATATTAGAGATTGGTAGGTAGTTAGGTACAATTTCAAATGCTTAATTTTATTGTTCAGACACAAAGATTAAAATATAAAATAATAATATTAATAATGGACTATATAATAGATGGTCTCACTCAATTAATGTTTATTATCTTCGAAAGACATTCTGTCTTGTCGATTTTCAATTTTTTTAACAAGTAAATTACTTTTAGAGATGATAAATATTAGCTGAGTGACGATCTGGGAGGTCAACACAATACTCTCTTAAATGCTACTTTTTTTTTTCTTTTCTAATTTCACAAAATTTATGTCCAAACGTCCATCCAAACAAAAGTCTTTCTCTATTTTTACAAGTCAAAAAGAAAAAAACTATCAGCATATTCATTGAAAGATTTAAACCAAAATATATTTTACAAAATAATTGAAACAAGAATTCATGTGAAAAAATACAAGGAGAATGAACAAAAACAAACCTAATTATGTCAATCATTAATGACAGATTCTCATAACCCGACATTTTTGTCGAGACAATTTAAAAATTTAATGCATCCAACAGAGTATATATACCTCTGCAAAAAAGAGAAAGTTAGAGGAGATACAAAGAATTACAAAGATAAAAAGGAAATGATACCTACTACAACGAGTTGAGAAAGAGAAGAGTATATAGCGTTTGGAGATATTTCATAGAGCGAGGAGACGGAAAGTAAGTCAAGTTCAAACCAACTCAAGGAGAAAACGTGTTGATGAAAGAGGCGGAGTGAAATGACAAGTATCTGGAAACCCTACCATTTAGAATCATTTATAGAGTGGTCTATTTCCTATTTTTGATGGACCTAGTTAGGTTGTACTTGTTTGATTTATTTGGGCTTATGTTGGGCCTTTTTGTACAAAATTTTTGAAATGGAATAAAGGAGCTAGACGCTCTGCAATTTTATTTTTAAAGAAAAGTAAAAGTGATATGATTTTTATAAGAACTAGAAAATTTTTATTATTATGATAGGACAAAATAACAAAATATTTATATATATAATTGTACCATAGAGATTGTAGTTGATTTTAATTAATTTAATTAATTCAATAGATTGGAAATTTCAAACTTGTACATGGTAACTTTGTTTGTTAGTCATAGATAAATATGATTTGTTTGACACACTTTTTATGGAGTAATGATTAGTTGAAATATCTCTAAACTCGTTAACTCATTTGGAAATTAAAATATTATTTTTCTTAATATAAAAAGTAACCCATTTGGAAATCAAAATATTATTTTTCTCAATGTAAAAAGAGTGATACATTTGGGAATACTTAGTTCCCTTATACTCTTACTCAAATTATGTTTAAAACTCTTTTGTCAAAACTTATCTTTACTTGCTCCGAAAATCAGTTTAAGACAAAAATGTTTGCTTTATTCATGCTGAATTATAAACATGAACACCTCAACTCAAGGATATCAATAACAATATAGAGAACTCAATACTAAGAAATCAAAAACTCAGAATTCGACGATGTTACTCACCTTATAAATACTTAAAATTAATGATAAAATCCTAGATTACTCTTTTACTGAATTTAGATAGATGTAGGGCGTGAGGACAAACTTAGTCCACCATTATGATAGCCTTACATACACTGAAGAACATAGTTCTTAGTGAAATCGATGAAAAGTCGAAGAACGCTCAAAACCTTAGCTTTCTCCTCTTGGATCCTTGCTTTAAGACTTGGAAGCATTAATGAACGTAAAGGATTGATTAACACTGTTCAAACCCTTAACTAGTTTTAAAAGCTGGAAAAAAAATCTTCATGGATCATTCGTGGTTTGATCTACGGACGTAAATCCAATCTCTGAAATTTGTATTGAATTTTAAGACTCAAATTTTATTCTATGAGTTCAATCTACATTCTACGTGTAAACCTACTTAAAATATGTGAGTCCAATAGTACTTAGGGATCATAAGCCTATAGCATTTTGTGTTTTTTTAGTCCTCTTGGTAAAATCCATGATTTTAATGTTACTTATAGGATAATCTTGAATTCCCATACAAATAGCTTTCAAAAGGAGCTAACTCCAGGTGATATTGGATTTTATAGGCTTATATACCTAAGAATATCCAACAAAGTATTTTCTTCAAAGAGGACATGGGTTTTTATGATGCATAAAGAGACTATGAAAATTTATATATTGTTATTGTAAAAGAAATAAAAATTATATACACAAAGGGTTGGCACAAATTTGTTAAAGCTAAAGGTTTAAGAGCAAAAGATACAATTATTTGCGAAAATAATTGTACTTTACTCCTAAATCTCCGGCTTTCACAAACTTATGCCAACCCTTTTCGAAAATAAATTTTTTGATTTCTTTTGCAACAATACATTAACTTTCATAGTCTTCTTGATATATCATAAAATCTCACGTTCACTTTGAATTTAAGAAAAAGAAATACTCCATTCGTTTCAAATGAACTTTCATAATCTTCTTGATACATCATAAAATCTCACGTTCACTTTGAATTTAAGAAAAAGAAGTAATCCCTCCGTTTCCAAAAGGATGACCTAGTTTGACTTGGAACAGAGTTTAAGAAAAGAAAAAAAACTTTTAATCGTGTGGTTCTAAATTAAAGTTAATAATGGACAATATAATAGATGGTATCACTCAATTAATGTTTATTATCATAGAAAGACATTCTTCTTGTTGATTTTCAATTTTTTTAACAAGTAAATGACTTTCTGGGATGATAAATATTAGCTGAGTGACCATTTGGGAGGTCAACACAATTCTCTCTTAAATGCTACTTTTTTTTCTTTTCAAATTTCACAAAATTTATGTCCAAACGTCAATCAAAATAAAAGACTTTCTCTGTTTTTACAAGTCAAAAGAGAAAAAAACTATGTGGATATTCATTGAAAGATTTAAACCAGAATATACTTTGCAAAATTATAGAAATAAGAATTCATGTGATAAAATACAAAGAGAATGAACAAAAACAAACCTAATTATGTCAATCATTAATGACAGATTCACATAACCTGACATCTTTGTCGAGACAATTTAAAGATCTATTTCATCTACCAGAGTATATATACCTCTGCAAAAAAAGAGAAAGTTAGAGGAGATACAAAGAATTAGAAAGATAAAAAAGAAATGATACCTACTACAACGAGCTGAGAAAGAGAAGAGTACACATAAATGTTCCATAGAGCGAGGAGGGGGAAACTAAGTCAAGTTCAAACCAACTCCAGGAGAAAACTTGTTGATAAAAGAGGCGGAGTGAAATGATGAGTATCAGGAAACCCTACCATTTAGAATCAATTTATAGAGTGGTCTATTTCCTATTTTTGATGGACCCTGTTAGGCTGTACTTATTTGATTTATTTGGGCTTATGTTGGGCCTTTTTGTACAAAATTTTTAAAATGGAATAAAGGAGCTAGATGCTCCGCAATTTTATTTTTATAGAAAGGTAAAAGTGATATGATTTTTATAAGAACTAGAAAATTCTTATTATTATGATAGGACAAAATAACAAAATTATTTATATATATAATTGTACCATAGAGATTGTAGTTGATTTTAATTAATTAATTAATTCAATAGATTAGTTGGAGAATTGATGAAAGTTTCAAACTTGTACATGGTAACTTTTTTTGTTAGTCATAGATAAATATTTTTAATTTGAACACTTTTTATGGAGTAGTGATTAGTAGAATGACTTGAAAAAAAAATATGAATTTGTGAGTTAAAGTGAAACATTTTTTGAATAAATTATTTTTAAAAGATATATTTTCCAAATCTAATGCAAAATCTATAATCAAACACTTGTTAAATATATAAGAATCACATCACATAGTTTAAATAAGGAAAATGAATTATTTTACAAAAGATCATAATCGATTTAAAATTCCTATATACAATTGTCATTTGCATAACTTAAATAATAAAATATTTTCTAGCCAAAATCATTGTTGACATAATATTTTTTATATATTAGAAAAATATTATATTATAATCTTATTTAAATTTTTTTCTCAAAACATAAAAAAATTGACCTAACAAAGACGCGTGTGCTTTTTGATCACAAGAGGGAAAAATGTATCTCTAAATTGGAGATATATCTTCTAAGATTATGACCTAAGTAAATAGTTCACACTTCATAAATTTAAATGAACATATACTACCTAAACATTTTATTCGTCAAAATAAATAATCTTATAAGACATATACAAAAAATATTAAGATTAGACTCACTATTTATAAAATTTTTAAAAATAACAATTTGCAATAAAGTACTAATTTACTTCTAATATTAAAATTATTTATAGAGAAAAACTATTCAAAATATCTATTAAAAAAAATAATTAAATTTTATTTTTAAAAAATTAAAATTTACATGTATAATTTTCATTCAATATTACACGTTTTTGGGAGGATAAAAAAATTATTTTTCTTCTTTTAATCTTGTAAAAATATTATTGTTACCTTTTTACTATTTTACAAAATAATATGTAATATAATATATAGTATAAAAAATAATAATATATAATGTAAAATAAATTATAACATAATGTTGGAGATTACAGAGCAATGACACAACGAAAATATAGAGTGATCGACATACCTCCAACCATTGCTAGCGATATAGTTGGAGTCTACAATTCTTCTTTTCTTCAAGAATCTTCTAAGCACTCAAAATCTCACTCTTAGATGATATAAAGTTTTTAGAATGTAATGTGCTTAGGGACCTTTGAACCAAATAACATATTTATAACCGTCCTTCCATCAAAAACGGTTAAAAGGTCATGTGAAGTTACCAACCACTTAGTAGGATAGTGGATTCATGTAGTGGGATAATCGGTATTTAACCATTATCAATGGGCAGTTAACCATTATCTCATTAGGTAGTTAACTAGCTTCCCATTAGTGGAATAATGGGTCCATGAAGTGGATAATGGACCATCTAATACGGACCATATCAGCATTAACAAAAATGCTAACACATTCTCATATAAAAACGGAAAAATAAGATTCTTAAATATTTTTAACCAAACCTATTAATATGTTAATTAATTAATAAGAAATATATTAATAAGTGTATACATAAAAAATAATATTTTAGTCTTGAGAAAAATAATTTTTTGTTTCAGCGTCGATTTTCTTTTTTAAGCAAAAATTTTTAGCTTCTTTCCAATAGCAAAAAAATTACTTCTATTTCTATTTAAAAACTTTTACTGATTTGTCGAGCATTTAATTTTTCAATAAAAGTACTTTTTTCCCCTCAAAATAAATGCTTTAGATCGTTCGATAATAATGCCAAACAGACTGTAATATTGAGTATAATATTACTATATAACTCAATCACTATCTCATACAAAATAATTAAAAATCAATAAGGCAGTCTATTTAAACAACTAAATACTCTACCAATACACAGAGATAATAGAACCAAAAAATATAATTGTAAAACTTACTTTAGGCATAAAATCAAAACCATAAGACTTCACATTGTAGTGATAAATGAATGAAAATATTGAGGAAATATAATTTCTATAGAAGAAGATTAAAAATAATATCGACATATGTAATGATTATTCACTTCAATTAGAAATTCAAATGATTTGCATACATGAATCATAAGGAGATTAGAGAAATTATTTTCTATATATTCTTAATTTTAGGAAAAATATATCGTGAAATAAAGTAATGAAATTACAAAAATCATGACAAAACATTCTGAACAAATTTAATAACTATAATAAAATAATATAATAATCGAAATACAGGAGATTATAAATGTATAAAAAATTTAAATTAATTGATAAGAAAAATGAATTTCATTCTACAACCAGACAAAATAATTTAAAAAAAATAAAATCTCACCAAAATGGAGACACCAATTGGGGATTAGATAGATGAGATGAAAAATACAAAATTGATACTCATCCCAATATCTCAGTTGGTATTTATAATCGAAAGCACTGAATATGTATTTATGGGAATATGAAATAATGTTCATTAAATACAATAAATATAGGTTAAAATATATTTTAATTAATTTAAAATTGTTCTGTGATAGACATTAAAGCGTATTAATTGTCTATTTAATTGAATAATTATGTTATGATCCCTTTTTAATAGAGAAAATTATAGGGGATATTAAACTATTAATTGAAATTAAATGTTATAACTATAGTTTATGTTATTTATAATTCACATTAAATATTCTATTTTTTTTAATCTTAGCCATTTTCAGTATACAATTACCCATTTGATATACAAATATATAAAAAGCGTTTGTGATTGTATAAAACGAGAAAAAAGTGTAAATACAAATATAAATATATATATTTTCATTTTATACGCTTATAATTATACGAATACAGATCTTATTATACAAATTATAATGCAATATATTCAATTTATACAAAATTAAACAGTTTGTATAAAGTTGAATGTATCTAGAGAATTATACAAATCAAAAGTCTTCATAGCAAACATGAATTTGCTATGGATATGAAGCGCAATTATGTAAACAATAGATATAATATACAAATATAATTTTAATATTTGCTATATTTGAAATTTGTTCTTAATAATATTACCTTTAAATTATGAAAGAGAAGACCTAATTTTTTTATTTTTAAAAAAGACAAAAATGAGAAAAAAATAAATATATTTTTTGGCAGAGAAACTTCAGCGTGGTATCCACATGACATTTAACAATTTTTCGTTAATTAGAAGGGCACTTTTGACCCAATAGTTTGACGGGAAGGGTAGTTTTGAGCCAAAATATAGTTTAAGGGTATATATGGGATATTTCAAATAGTTTAACGGTATTTTTGACCCTTTTCCGAAAAAAGAATTACATTCAATTACTCAACTTTTCACCTCCCACTTCAGGAATTTAAAGGAATTTCCTAGATTAAACACGAAGCATCACTAATTTAATATATGGAAAAGGAAATATTTGTCAATTGCCCTTATACTCTTAGAAAATGGTTATATATATACCCTTAGTTATACTCTTTTGATATATTTGCCCTTATCATCCAACTTTGAGAGCATATTTACCCTTGATCAGTTAAATATTATGCCACTACTTTTATTATCTTGTGTGGCGCTTACATGTCTCCCATGGATATATTTTTAATAAATTAAAATTTTCTTTATATTTAATATTTTACTCGATCCACCCAATTTGGAAAGTTGTTAACCCTAATTTCGTAGCCATCCTCTCGAAATTACCGTCCAATTCACCTTGACATTCTTATCAACCCATTTTTCGATAATCATGTTTCTCTGAAATCTTATTTAGACCAACATTCATGTTATCAATTAATAATTATAGTAAGAGGTGTTGTAAGGATTAGTTTCTAATTGATATTTGCACCTCTTAGAGTTATATGAGTGTTGTAAGGATAATTTTAGTGATACTTGTATGCCGTCTTCTTTTTCTAACAAACATATCCGTGTTCTTCAAATTCGATTATTTATGAAGAGAGTTTATTGATGATATAGGACTCAAGAACGTGAACGAGATAGCAAAATATTACAAACTAGACATTTGTTGGTCTTTGTCTATAATGTTTATACCCATGGAGTAGTCGTATGCACTTATCATCACTTACGTAATCATGTATTTGTGGTACGTAACCTATTTAGAACAAAATGATCAAATATTATTTGAAGGTATATGAGTTTATATTTCGTACATGTTACGATCCGAGCCTACACCTAGGATGTGTCATACACTCCAGAACAATTGATAGTCCCGAAGCGAATCCTCATCCTGGATGACTACAAGTGGAAGACTAACTCAAGCATACAAAACTTTAAAATTAAATAAAATTCATGAAACTTACAAATATTTAACTCAAATGAGTAACTCTTAATTAAAATAGAATATTCAACTAGCCAACAATAGACAACTCAAATCTTTAATACACTTAATAAGATAAATGAAACAAACTTCTCAAACTTTACTATCTATCTATGAAGCCTCTAAATGACAAAGATGGAAGTTGGGGCAAGACTCATGACATCCTAATTACAACCGATATAACTGAAAGGTAAATGGAATCCTCTGGAAGCAAGGAGACTCACCATAGCTAACTCGAAATACTTTTGGTATGAACGAAGCTACTACTATTGATGATCCAAGAGACTTGAATCTGCATCATGAAAGGATGCAAGCCAAATGACTCAGTACATGGAATGCACGAGCATTGCAAAACACTATACTGAGCCATTCTGGGATCATGACCAACAGTAGCTTCGTTGATACCACATGGAGTTTGAGTTAGCTATGGTGAACCTTCTTACTTCAAAAGGAAATCATTTACCTTTCAGTTATATCAATTGTTAGGATGTCGTGGGCCTTGTCCTGACTTCCATATTTGTTATTTAGAAGTCTTATAAATGGATAGCAGAGTTTGAAAACTTTTGTTTCTTTTATCTTATCAAATGTATTAAAGACTTAAGTTGTCTATTATTGGGTAGTTGAATATTCTATTTTTATTCAAAGTTATTCATTTGAGTTAAAGATTTGTAAGTTTCACGAATTTTATTCAGTTTTGAAGTTTTGTATGCTTGAGTTAGTCTTTCGTTGAGTAAGTAAGTCACGCCAAGGATTAGCTTTGAACCAAAAATATTTCTCGGGTGTCAGTCACGTTCGGGGTGTAGGCTGGGGTGTGGCAACCATCTCCCTCTCAGTTATAAAGCTAACACTTGAAAGTCATGGACCTATTTCATCATCTCTATACTGATGTACAATCATCTTACTCTAACATTCGGGAAAACTTATCTCATGGATACTAAATTCTCCATAAATGGGTACTGAGACCTCTTTCTAACATGTATCTCTTAACATCTTATGAGGCATACCTTCTCAGCACACATTTAATGCTCTTTTTACTCTTGTGAATTAGTCACACTTCATTGCCCTTATCTAAACATTAGGGTCTGTCATTTGTATCACGCATATGTATTGCAACTTATCACCTCAATTCCTCACCTACTCTATGTCAAGTCTTCTAGATCAAATCTCAAGACTAACATCATCATCCTCGTGTTTTCATTCTTTTGATCATACACTCATCTCAAATTCAAACTTAATATTTATGAGTAAATCCGAATACCAATATAATTGCTCTCTTACTATAATAACTTCCAACTACGGGTACAAATTCAGAAACACTCGTCCACTAGGACCTTATGACAAATAGTCAATCCTTACCTCTTAGTATTCATACTTACAATATACTATCACATTCCCTTCATAAGTTGAGCACTATTCACTCATTCACTATACACCAATGTCTAATTAATTGGGTTGTATGTACTGTTGCGTTGAAAAAAAGCTGACACTGAAATAAACTATGTTGGGCCTATTATGACGTCCCGCCATCTATCCAGGCAGATCGCCACCCATCTAGGCAGCTAGCAGCGTGTGCAAGGGGACAGGCAGCCCAAAACGGTCAGCAGACGAAGGGGCTGGCAGTCCAAGCAGGCAGCAGACGGAGGGGCAGACGTTTCAGGCATTCAGCGGATGGAGGGGGGCAGTTTTCAGCCTTAGGGAGGCTTGTGCAGGCCCTCTAGAACGTTGGGGCAGACTAGGGAAGGGTAGGAGTCCCTTTTTGGAAGAGTTAGAGTCATTCTTAGAATAGAGTCATTCTTAGAATGTAGTCATGTCTTGAGTGCATGAACTTAGGGACTTGTATTGTAGCATTTATTTACTCTTAGTCATTAGAGTAGTATAAATAGTAGAGTCATTGTATTTGTAATACATCCATCAATTGACTAATAAGATACTAGTCCTTTCTTCCAAATTCCGTCTTTTGTCTGCCTTCTTATTTCTCTTAGCGATCCAAATTGTGAGAGGCTTACTTGAGTTTGCGAGATTGTGAAAGAATCGTGAGCAAACCGTCAAGTGCCGCAAGGAGTCTTGTCAGAATCTTTAGGTCCGTGACACTATACTAAAGCATGAGCCAAGGCAAATCTAGTCTATATACTGCATGTGAACTTTCTTAAAATATGTGATTCCAATAGTACTTAGGGATTACAAGTCTAAAACATTTTGTGTTTTTTTTATCCTCTTAGTAAATTTACGTTTTTAATGTTATTTAAAGGATAATATGAATTCTCATACAAGCAACTTTTTCAAAAAGAGCTAACCCCAAGTGATGTTGAACTTCAATAAGCTTACATATACCTAAAAAATGCATTAAATTATTTTCCTCAAATCCAAAATGAGGAGATGAACTTCTATGATATAGGAAATTATGAAAGTTTAGATATTGTTATTGCAAAAGTAATCAAAAAGTTATTTTTACAAAGGGTTGGTCTAAGTTTGTGAAATAATCGTATCTTTTGCTCTTAAACCTTTCTCTTTCACAAACTTACGCCAACCCAGTGTAAAAATAAAATTTTCGATTTCTTTTGCAATAACTCAAATACTTTATTGCTTATATTATTTTTTTAGATATACACAAACCTATAAAACTCAACATCACTTATAGTTATTTCCTTTTGAAAAAAATTGGTTCTTCGAAAATTCAAAATTATCCCAAATAACATTGAAATCATGAATTTATCAAGAGGATTAAAAAACACACAAAATGATGTAGGCTTGTGATCCCTAAGTAATATTAGAATCTCATATTTTGAGAAGTTTTACATATAGTGTGCAGATATCTTTGTGGGTAACCTATATAAATCATTTACATTGTTGTATATAATTTAAACTCTTAGGAATTTATATTTTCTGTGGATCGTTGTCAGAAAATATCTCTTGTATAACATGCAAAAATAACAAATCAACAGCGTACATATTAACTGTAATCCCACAAATATTGTATAAGAAGAGTAGTGTCTATACATACCTTAGCATAATGACCATTATGTTGGCCCACAACACCTTTGAATCTTGAACCAGAATTGCAAGCTTTTTTCTCACGTGGATGAATATTGTAGTTACTTGGACAATAGATGATTGCTCACTCTTAAATCACAATCACCAACCACTACATATATGATTGTGCTTGATATTAAGTTTGTTTCGTTAGTTAGGTACAATTTTGATTGTTCATACACAAAGATCGAAATATAAAAATAACAATAAAAAAAATAAAATACGTAATTCCAATTCATTTTAAATCCACTCGAAATAGGATTTTGTTTATCTTCTATTTAGATGGTCTCACTCAATTAATGTTTATATCACATTCTTTTTGTTGATTTCCAATTTTTCAATCAAAAAATGACTTAAGATAGATAACTATTAGATGAATGACCAATTGAGAGGTCAACACAATTCAATTTTAAATGCTACTCTTTATTCTTTTCAAATTTCACAAAATATATGTCCAAACTCTCATCCAAATAAAAAACTCTCATAAGATATTCTAAGACTTTCACGCTTTTACAATTCAAATAAATAAAACTACAAGGGTTTTTATACAAAGATTTAAACTATAAACTTTTTTTGCAAAACAACATTAACAAGAACTTATGTGAAAAATACAAGGAGAATGAACGAATATTAACCCGATTCTCTCATGTATTAACAACGATGCTTTGAAAAAAATACAAAAAAGAAGGAAAAAGAAGATACTTACATAGAGTTCGATCAATACTGCACAAGACTTGGCATCTTCGTCGAAACAATTTTGAAATCCATCGCATTAATTGGAGATACCACTGCAAAGAAAGAGAAAGTTAGAGGAGCTATAAAAAGTTTTTGTTTTAAAAAAAAGAGGGAAGGATACCTACTTCAGCAAGCTGAGAAAGTGAAGAATGCATGACATCATGAGATACACATAGATGTTCCCAGAGCGAGGAGGCGGAATGTAAGTCAAGTTTAGATCCATTCTAAGAGAAAACAAGTTGATGAAAGAGGCGGAGTGCAAGGAGGAGTATCAGATAGAAAACCCTACCATTCAGAATCAATTTATAGAGTGACCTATTTTCTATTTTGGATGGGCCCGGTTAGGTAGTACTTGCTTGATTTATTTGGGCCTATTTTGGGCCTTTTTGTACATAATTTTTGAAGTGGAATTAAGAAGCTAGACGCTCCAGAATTTATTTATTTTTTTAAAAAAATGACAAATGTTGCGTGATTTCTGTAAGACTAAAAAAAATTATTATTATTGTTTTAATAAATCAAAATAACAAAATATATATACATATAATATGAAAATAAAGATTTTAGTTGATTTTGAATAATTAATTAATTAATTCAAAAGATCAGTTCAAAAAATGATAGAACTTTCAAACTTGTACTTGGTAAGTTTGTTAGTTAGTCATCATAGCTAACTACTTTTAACTTTACATAACTTTTATGGAGTAAGCAGGAAATCCAAACCATCAGTGGAACCATATTTGAAAGGGAACATTTCTACAAATGTGAAATGTTTCACCTGGCTAGTGATAAAGAAGGCTTGTTTAACACAGAAAGTATTACAAAGTGTGGACAAATGGTTCTCAGATGCTTTTTGTGCAATTTGACAGGAGAAACAAATAATAACCTTTTCCTGCACAATATCTTTACCAAGCAAGTCTGAAATTTATTTCTTAGCATTTTAAATCTGAATTGGACAATGCCAGAACATACATCAGAGTTGTTGAAGAACTGGGTAAGGAGAGGATGCAGCAAGAGCCAAAGGAGATGATGGAGGTTAATACCATCATGTATATGGTGGTTAGTTTGGTAGAAAGGAATGGTACGTAGATGTTTTGAAAATACATCTAATTTCATTCACAAGGTCAAATGGAATTGTATAGTATATTTATTTTTTGGTGTAAACAGTTTGTTAGGACCGAAAATAAGTAGGTGTAAATGCAGAAGCTAGCAAAGCAAGCCTCAAAAGATCACGAGAAAGAAGACAACGAGCAATATACCAAAAGACACAAAGATTTAACGTGGTTCGATTAATCGACCTACGTCCACAAAGGAGATGAGCAATCCACTATAAATATGAGAATACAAAATACAGGGAGAAACAACATCAACCAATTTACTCAGAATACATGGGAGGTTCACAAGTGATAACGTATCAAGATTGTGACCCATAAATTCTCCCCCTAACCAAAACTCTTAAAGCCCTTAATACTACATTGTGAATGTTGATTAAGTTAGAAGGAACATTCCTCTATTTATAGAGTCCTAAACCTTTTCCTACCAGAAAAATGATTAGTCAAATCAAAACTTTTTCCTAAAAGGAAAACCTATTTATGGTAAGAAATTTAGGGCAAATAAAACCCAACAAGTTGTTGTGACGAAAAGATGAAACTGAAAATCTAACAATAAAGAACATCAAGTTTAATGTGGAAAAACCCTTCAAATCGAAGGTAACCACCACGGGATCGACAAGATCGAAATTGCTTCACTATACCAATAAGAAGGTTACAAATATTCTTCTATTGTCTACACAACATGTGCCAAAAGAGAACAAACAATAGCTACACGAACAAAAGATAAATAGAAAGAAATACCATCCAAATTCAGCTTCTGTTCGGGACCTAAAATAGGATCTTGATGACCTTCAAATCCGATCTCAACCGTTCAAATAAACCATCAAGATGTCAGGAATACTCAATCCAAATTTTAAACTGATCCAACGGTTAGTTATTTGGTAAATACGATTTGAACATTACTGGTCGGAGAAAAAGACTGCAGGAAAAGAATCATTTTCTTTCTCTATTTTCTCTTGTTGAAAGCTCTCTCAAAAACCTTTCTTATGTCCTAATGTCTTTCAAAGACAATATCAATGAGCAATTGAATTATTCTCTCAAGACCATCCTCTATTTATAGAGTTATGTTTTTCCTTACAAACCCAAAACCAACTACAAATAGAATTACAATTTCAATCCTTTTCCTAATAGAATTGAAAACCATATAAAGAGTAGGGATAATGCCCAAGTACCCCCTCAACCTATGCCCGAAATCTCAGAGACACACTTATACTATACTAAGGTCCTATTACCCCCTGAACTTATTTTTTAAATAATTTTCTGCCACTTTTCGACCTACGTGGCACTATCTTGTGGGTCCAAAGATGGTTGACTTTTTTTTTCAAATTAGTGCCACGTAGGCTGAAAAAGGGTAGAAAACTACTTATAAAATAAATTCAGGGGGTTAGTAGGACCTTAGTATAGTTTAAGTGTGTCTCTGGAATTTTAGGCATAGCTTGAGGGGATATTTGGGCATTATCCCTAATATTAATATAGTAACTTATCAAATTCAGCGCAACTATTTCAATATAATTATATAAACTTTATAATGTTTGAGTCAAGTTTTATTATTCTAACATTATATTATAATTTTTTCATTGAAAATTTCATTGTTTGCATTCTTACTTCATAAGGTCTACGTACACTCTACCCTCTCGAACTTAAATTGTAGGTTACATTAAAAAAAATGTTATAGTTATTCAATTTATATATAATAACTCTAAAAATATAAGGCCTCTCAATGAAATTTTGATTTATATATATATCGTTTATATGTCTTTGTAAATAAAAATTTTCTGGTGTATATAATTGATTCTCATATATATTAAAGTATTCTATTATAGCTTTTTCTATTTTTTGTAATCTTTGTTTTTCTTCTAGTTCTCTATATAAATACCAATAATTTATTCTTATACTTCTAGTAAAAGGATGTTTTCTCATAAAACTTGTAGCCTCTAATCTGTGTATTTCTTGATCTAAGGTGTCTTAATAGCTTGTATTCTAATTTTTTTAATTGAAAATAATAGATTATTTAGTTTCTGACTATTATTTAATTTTATTTCTTCTAAATGTTTTGTATATTCAAGATATAAACTTAATAATTCTTGTTTAACCTTACGATATTCTTTAGTATTTTTATGGGATCTTCTCATATATGTTTATCCTATAGGGCTATTGTAAAAATAACTATTTCTT